CTTACTTTCTTAGAGAGAAGGTAAAGATGTCTTACTTTCTTAGAGAGAAGGTAAAGATGTCTTACTTTCTTACAGAGAAGGTAAAGATATCTTACATTCTTACAGAGAAGGCAAAGAATATTGACATTCTGGTGCTATTAAAGAAAGCAGCAATAGCTAAGAAGTGGTTTCTCTAGCGCACCTTTAGTCAAATTACGTTTCTCTACAAGCTATTATACTGTTGCGCACCTTTAGTCAAATTACGTTTCTCTACAAGCTATTATACTGTTGCGCACCTTTAGTCAAATTACATTTCTCTACAAGCTATTATACTGTTGCGCACCTTTAACCAAATTACATTTCTCTACAAGCACTCCTGCACTTTATGCCCGCTAACTTACTTCCCTATCTGTCCGATTATTGAAGAAAACGTTTTTTAACTCGTATTATGAACTAAGCTTTGCAGTGAGGGCGAGTTTCGGGCCAGACCTCTCGTAAATCTCACGAGATTTGGGCACGTCTATTAACCCCCTAGCGGGCGGCCTAACAAAAGGGTAACTCTTGCCTCCTCGGGGTGTCTGCTTGCGCATGCGCGATGCAACTAAATCCCATAACTCTTGCATAGCTCACGGCTGTAGGCGTGTCATCCAGTGTAGGGTGGGATGAGGGGAGGTGTACCATCACTCGTTGTATAAGGGGAGGTGTACCATCACTCTTTGTATAAGGGGAGGTGTACCATCATTGGTTGTATAAGGGAAGGTGTACCATCACTCGTTGTATAAGGGGAGGTGTACCATCACTCGTTGTATAAGGGAAGGTGTACCATCACTCGTTGTATAAGGGGAGGTGTACCATCACTCGTTGTATAAGGGGAGGTGTACCATCACTGGCTGTATAAGGGGAGGTGTGACATCACTGGTTTTATAAGGGGAGGTTTACCATCAGAATAAACATTTTTCCACTAGCATCCAATGTTTTTCAACCTGGGCCATACACCAGAGCAATGTGGCAGGCGATAGTTTAGTGTCACACGCCATCAGTGTGTGTCGCGCACCACATAGCCACAACACCACATAACCACAACACCACAGCACACCACATTACCAAACACCACACAGCCACAACACCAAGTTGCTACAAAGTATAGTATAAAATAATTTCCAAACTAGCGCACATAGTTTCATTTGATGTTTTTGAATCGTAAATTGCAGCTTTCTACTAAATAAAATAATGCACATTAAATTATTTTTACAAGATAAAAACACTACGGTTAGCTACTTATTATGATGCAACATTTAGCAAAAGATCGAATTTAATTTTTTAAAGTATTAATAATTGATATTTAATTAAAGAAATTATTAATAATAACAATAATTAATAACTTGCATTTTTAAAACACATGATCGCATACCGTTACCTTTATATTTGAAAGATTTTCGTTGGTGTCAAAACTTTGACAAACATCAAAACTTTTCCCCGCCAAATCCCCCCCCCCCCCCTTACCTAAATGGTTGTCTGTGTTTGTTTACAAGCTTGAGCCAGCTAGAAGAAAAAACTTAATCCAGTGAATCCCACTTGGTCATGGGTTTATCTGTTGTTCTCATGTTCCGTGAAATCATCCATACACATGACAACAAACAACGACACTCTCGCACAGAGTTTCTTCCAGGCATCTCTCCGGGAAGGGGGGGAAATGCCCCCCCCCCCCCCCCGAAATTTTTTTAACGCCCCCCCCCCCCCCCCGAACGAAATGAAATTTATATAATTTATATAGAAAATATAGACTTTTAACAGTGTCCGCCCCCCCCCCCCCCCGAAAATTTCAAGTGCCCCCCGGAGAAAAAAGTCTGGAAGAAACACTGCTCTCGCACCCTTCTGAGGTGACATACATTTTCCGCTTACAACTAGGCGTAACTTGATATTTGTATTTAACAAGATTGATATTTGTATTTAACAAGATTGATATTTGTATTTAACAAGATTGATATTTGTAATTAACAAGTTTGATATTTGTATTTAAAAAGATTGATATTTGTTTTAAAAAATATTGATGTTGGTATTTAAGAAGATTAATTTTTTTTTTTTTCACGAAGATGGACATTTTTTTTTCAAGAAAATTAATACTTTTTCCACGAAGATTGGTATTTGTGCATAAAGAAATCCGACCAAGAAGTATTATACACCATTAGACACCTTTCACCCCACATCCCTGGTATTTGGGGCTCCTTAAAACTTAAATTAGTGTGTATATTATTAGTCAAAGCATCAAACTATTTAATCATAGGGCCTAAATTTTAAACAACTTCAGTGTTTCGGAATACACCGCTCCCGACAATGTATGTTAACCTGTTAGTTATTATGCTGTAGTATGATACTAAAATATGAATAATATCACCTGTTTATAATCGTTTTAAATCCAGGTTAAAAAATTCGCTTTTTTTTACGGTTTGAATCCCCCCGCCCTTACCTTTCAATTTATGAAGTTAATACCCTTCCTGTTCATATTACGGCGCATTTAAGAAAAAGGTATTTTTTAAAGTCATTTCTTGACTCAGTAGATATTATAACATGAGCCTGTATCAAATATATAGTTTATTATTGAGTTATGTCTAAGGCAAGAAGTATTAAAGACTGATGTTGAATGTAATGAATGAATATAATAACATGGCTAACAATGGCATGAAGAGATTCGGGTTTTTTAGACACTTGAAATTTTCGGGGTGGGGCGCGCACTTAGGCCTAGAATTTCCGGTGGGGGGGGGGGGCACTAGTTAAAGTTTATATTTTCTATATAATATAAATTTTTTTTTCTATTTCGTCTGGGGGGAGGGAGGGGGTGGACGTGCTTCCGTAGGGAGTGGGGCAATGACCATCCCATCTCAAAGATATCTGAAAGAAACTCTGGAAGGGGTCCACTGGACTCACCAGGACTCGAACCTCAACCTCTAATGTTAGAGCTTAGCTCTCTCGACCACCATCCACCGAACTGGCTTAGATAAGAGATTTACATGTGATTAGAGCCAACCCAATTAATTATCTAAATCTAGGGTGCGCTGGGTTTTTCTCCAATCTATTGATATAACTGAGTACCATGGTACAGAAATCTTCACACATTTTCGTGACGTTTCTCCCCGCGATCTGATTGGCTGATATTTTTGTATGATACTCGAGTTGCCGCCTGTAACGTTACTAGCCCCCGCCCCTCCGTCCCCTCCTCCCGAAAAAATTGAGAAATATTTCATGTATTTTTTAAGCTCATATAATCAAGGGTCTGGGTTTTTCACCAATTTTAAGCTCGTATAATCAAGGGTCTGGGTTTTTCACCAATTTTAAGCTCGTATAATCAAGGGTCTGGGTTTTTCACCAATTTTAAGCTCGTATAATCAAGGGTCTGGGTTTTTCACCAATTTTAAGCTCGTATAATCAAGGGTCTGGGTTTTTCACCAATTTTAAGCTCGTATAATCAAGGGTCTGGGTTTTTCACCAATTTTAAGCTCGTATAATCAAGGGTCTGGGTTTTTCAGGATTTTTTTTTCCCCGCACAAAAATTTTCAGATCACAGATAGGCATGCCCATTTAATACCCCCCCCCCCCCCCCCCCCCCCCCCCCGCTCCCCTCCCCCATCCATCCATCCCACCCCAATATCTTTTGTGAAACTCAATGGCAAAGAAGCAAAGAATTCTAAAAATCCTAGTATCTATAGCGACAGTAGAAATGCATTTTTTTACATCAATACATCGGTGTACTTATTCGATTGTATTTCAATAGGGGATGGTTGCTGATTTAAATAAACAAAATAGTTGCTCCACTGAATTACTTTAATTTGAATATCCTCTTCAATTAATATAAACTAAAAAAAATTACTTAGAAAAAAATGATTTAGTAGGCCTACAAGTTAAAAAAAAAAACGATTGAATGGAACTGGTTTAGTTGGGAAAATGAAATGGATTAGGTGGGGAAATAGATTTTTTTTAAAAGTCCTGTTGTTGACTCGACCTGTGTTATTTTTTAAAAAACTTTCCGGTAGGTTTTATTGTGACATAACCTGAAATTTTCAAAGTTTGAAGGTGTGTTTACACTACACAAACATGACCGATTCGACGAAACTAAAACCATATTTGACTAAAAGGTCATAAAATATTTTTTAAAACATGTTTAGGTGCATTTGAAGCCAAAACGTAGGCTCTTTGGCTTAGAAATAAACATTGGTTTACTTTACTTTGAAATTAAAAAAAAAATAAACATAAGATTTTCCTATAATTTTCACATTAATCCTGGTTTAATAACCAATCACAATTAATACAATGCAAGCGGTCTCTATTGGTTCTTTGGGTAATTTATTTATTTTTAGGTTCAGTACATTTCCATATTTTATTATTTAAATTATTCAAATATTCAACTTTAGCATGAGCACTTTTTAATTATTTCATGTTTAATGTAAGCTAATAATGACAAAATGGCGGATGTTGCCCGTACTAGATTGGCTGTAAAGTACAATATTACTTCCGCACACACACCCTTACCTCGGTCTATATCATGTTACCTTCCCATAACCGTGTTACTAACAACTAGGAAGTACTAGGATTGTGCACTATTTGCAGTATGCGCAGTGATATTTGACGGTACACACATCTTTACTTTACTTGATGCTTTGGTTATGATTAACACATTTATTGTGGTCTTTAATGTCATGATGATTTGAGCTGACCATGTTTTGTTCACGGGGAAATACAAAATGTATGCCACACGTTTCTTAACCCTCTCCTCTCCGTCCTCCTACCATTCAAGTATTCTAAGGTTGTGACGCCATTAACTTATCATTCTGCTTGAACATAGGCTATTTAAAAACCTTGTCAACTTGTCTTCGTTTTTAAAGTGTCGTATTGCAGATAAATCTATTTGTGTACATTTTGTATTGTATTATTGTAGGGCTTATCTATTGTGTCTATTGTTCAGTTATTATAAATTCAACATAACGTAGATCTAAATACAATTATTTTTTCTCATTTTTTACAGGCAGAAAATGGCGGAGTTTGAAACCGGATCAGAAACAACCTTTTGTAGACGAGGCTGAGAGGATTCGAGTACAGCATACCCAAGATTACCCCGATTACAAGTATCGGCCCAGAAGGCGGAAGAACACCAAACGCATTGGAAGCAAGAAAAGTAGTTCCTCTGCCGACAACCAGCAAGACGATTCTCCGGGAGCGGAACATGCCTCTGTAGAGCTAACAACCTCTACGGCCAGATCGTCGGAACATTTTTCGCGACAAGTTTATGTTTCGAAAAATGCGCCCAACTTACTTTCTGCTACTTCTATAAAGTCGGACCATTCATCCGTTTATGAAACTAATTACCACGCATTTGGAAACATGCCGAATTACACTTCAAACAACACAGTGTATGCCGGGAACGGATTTAGTGTCCCTACGGATAACAGCAAGGTGACCTTCTCAAATATTCTACGCAAGATTTCAGCAGAGGTCATCGACCTTGATACCGGTTCATCTAGACACCCCAACTGTACAACAGACAAAACAAACTCTCTATCTGTGTTCACTCAGTCTTTAGCTTACGTCGAAAAAAGTGGTAACACTAAATATCAAAAACTGGCTCAAAACAACAATCTTCATACCAAAACGTGCCAAGATTACGATTCTCGCGATTCTCCTCAAAGACACATGGGAGTCTCGACGAATGCACATGAAAGCATAAAAATCGAACATAATACTCACGCCCCTGTGACCATAGAAACGGAGCAGGGAAATGATATAGGAAAAACAAACGAACCTTTTACTTGTGCCGACATTCTGGAGCTGGACCAGTACCTGGAGAAGACAATCAAGGGCATGCCGGTTCCTGCCAGCAGACACACGCAAGCGTTTCTACTATCCACCAGCCCCGGAAGTGCCGCAGAAACTCCAGACACCGCTAAAGTCTTGGAGTATAGCTTGGCTCTCGAAGCCACGTACGTCAACAGCAGGCGTCAGATGGATCTAGAACACGCCTTCAACAACGATGAGAAACTTTGTCAAATGGACGCAGAGGCCCAGTCAAGATATGGTCAGACTCACCTTCAAAGACCACCCATGTTATGCAATAGCTCGCTTGAGTATTGTAAATATTTTAACAACCAAGAAAACAGACATATGCATGTATGTGGTGACGTACCGGAAGTGACTAGCTTCAATGACATATCAGGGCCTACCAACGCTAGACGGAGGCCGCATTACATCCGACAAACCAACATATTTAGCGAGGACGTCACAATGGATGACTTTAAGCCTGACTTGCAGTGTGAGCAGTCAGTTGTCAACAGCAGACGAGAAGAGCGCGGATATTTCGTCGAGCAGGATCTGGTCCCGTCGCCAGACTTCCGCAGACCGGAAAAGTCGTCAGGAACTCACGGGTCTTATGGCGCCATGGCCGGAGACTGTCAAACAACATGTGGCGCCCCCAACTTGCAGCAGTTCTCAACCAACTCTGGCACCGTGCATTTTTCAACCAAACCAATCAACACGATGTACAATGTTGAAAAGGGGACATTCAACTCCAACCCTTCTTCCATTTCTGGAAAGGACAGATCGATACCACTTGACAGAATCGATTCCAACTCAGTCCAGTACCCACACGCCTGGGCCAATCATAGCTCTCGTGTCGTCCCGTACAGCACGACGGATAATGACGAGCACAGAATGGCCACGCCCATGTACGAGTCCGACTCACCGTCCGATGATGGGCGTCGATCACGTGACAGCAGCGGATGTGGCTCGTGTTATGACCTGACATCCCCTGGAATGCCAGACCTCGCCTACTACAACTCAACTTGCACCAACGACGGAAGTGACGACACGGCTATTCTAATTGCCGCACTGACTCAAAAAACTGCGATATAAAACCGTGAACTACCAACATGTATTTAGAATGACATTTTTAAAACTTTAACCCTTATATAGTAACATACCATTTGCACTTTTTAAAAAGCCTTTATTAAAGTGTGGAGTTAATTTTAAATCGTGTGATTAAACCCCCACAACTGTTTTACGATCTAAAAGATCACAAAAAACGGTTAGTAAAATATAAATAAAACATGTACAAAAAAAAAAATAATAATGAAAACTATGTTGAGTCTTGTCAATGTTAACAAGAAGTTTACGTTAAAGTCACCCTAAATCTCTAGAAAAGTGTCACCGTAAATCTCTCGTTGTAACCACACCTCATGTAACGGGTAGATACTAGAAACAACTGTGGGGTAAATTTTAACCTGACCCACCTAAAGTGGGGTAAATTTTTACCTGACCCGCCTTAAGTGGGGTAAAGTTTTACCTGACCCATCTTAAGTGGGGTAAATTTTTACCTGATCCATCTTAAGTGGGGTAAATTTTCACCTGACCCATCTTAAGTGGGGTAAATTTTTACCTGACCCATCTTAAGTGGGGTAAATTTTTACCTGACCCATCTTGGGTAAATTTTAACCTGACCCACCTAAAGTGGGGTAAATTTTTACCTGACCCACCTTAAGTGGGATAAATTTTTAGTCATAAAAACTGAACAGCCATAGATTTGTCTTGATGTATGTTAAGATTTAGCTGCACCTAACAATTTCTGTAAATGAATAGAAGCTGTTGTCGTGTACTTGTGTAGTAATATATACATTTTCTTGAGTAGTTATTTTTTATTCTTTTAAAAAAAATTATTACCTAAAGAATATCATTTTAATTAATGAAACAACAGCAGCTTTGTTTTTCAAAATCAGGCTTTTATTAACCAAATACCGAAGAAATAAACTTTCAAGTTGTACTAGTTAAACAAACTGTACACATTAATAAAGTTTTAAATTGTACAAATTATTGGCGATGTTTTAGAATTTAGAAACTCACTGTACACATTAAACTACCACAATACAGCTCTCTTTACATTTTTGGATGTTAGGAGGTGGTTTTTACTTGTGATTTTTGAGCTTAAGGAATGAAGCATCTTTGTATAGCAGTAAAAAATACATTGCTCCAAAATTTATAATTTTCCATGAGGTACACAATCAAAAAAGTGAAATTTTTAAAAAATAAATACTGATAAGACAATTCTGGGCTAGTGTAAGATAGCACAAGTGTTTAAGAAAAAATAGATTGCAAGGTATTTTCAAAACGAAGAGAAATGTATTGGCATGAGTTTAGCGGTCTGGACATCACAGAAATATTGGATTACATTTCAACACAAAAAAAACAACCAAATAAAAATAAAACAAAACGATGCACAAAATGTATTACAACTAAACAATAAGTTTTAATTAAATATAACGAGTTGTCAAATATTTTTTTTTAATTTTGCGTCACACATTGAAAGCGGAGTGTAAAAATGTCACCTGATAAGACTACATGAGACACATTGAATAATAAAAGGATTGTAAAAAAAACAATTCACCGTTACAGAAGAAATGGGACTAACAATATTATTCCAGAATTTTGTCACTGTTCAAATAGAGATGGGCAACTTTGAAGAAGAAAAATAGAAAGAAAAAACCCAGTTGTTATAAAGTATTTAAAATTTTAATAGGTTTTTTTTTAAATTAAAAGACTTAACTTAGTTTAGGGCACAATTTAACAAGTGAAGATTGAGGGTCTGTGTTAAAAGATGGGGGCTAAATAAACACGTCCCACAAATGTGTACCAAACACAGGAAACAAACCAATCCAAACTAGGTATTCTTGCATGGGATGTACAGCAGGATTATAGCCATGACGAAGCAACCAGTGTTGGTAAACATGTACAAGTGCTAAACTAAGCTAGATAGAAAATATTGAAAACTCCTTAGGTTACCATTATATACAAATACATTGGATGTGAACTTTACAACCAGTAAGAAAATGATGAAATGTTCCCAAAGTTTGAAAGTTAAAGCAACCCTGATAGAATCAAATCATCCTACAAGCAATTTAAAGGTTCTTATAATCAAAGCCAAAATGTATGGAACAGTAGGCTAGATACACAAATGTATTCTATTCCAGAATAAATTTAGTCAACAGTTTCTTCACAAAGGTTGTTAATTTAATCTGAATCACACCAAATATTTCTTTTTAAACCTCTAAAACAGAACAAAAGGCATGATTAGTTCTTTAAATATGCAGGGCTAGTTAGAAAAAATCTGCATAAATAGTAGATGCTCAGCTTTACTGACTGTTGTATGCAGGGGGCTGAGGATAGGTGCTGGGGACCTTGATGGCTTCCTCATAGCATGGAGGGAGAAGCATCTAGTGAAGTAAATAATGAAAAGGTTACACATTTCAGCTAATTCAATTCAAACCTTCTAAAAATAAGAAATGATTTCACTTATAATTAAACACAACACCAACTTGTGAGCAAAGTCTGATTATTTAAACAAGTCGAAACTTATTGAGCCATTAAAAAGTTTTCAAATGGGTCTATTTCTTCTTGTCTCATGGTATAGGTGGACAGTTGGGTTGCCACTAGTGTTTTATTGATCTTCCACACCAAACTTAGTGCATCTTCCAGGGTTAAACCCATTTCCTTATATTCCCATTTTTTCCTTTTTTTTTTAAATGCCCTAAATGCTGTCTTTTAAAAATATTCTTAACAACTTTCTACAGTATCACAATTTCATGGCTTGTATTCTATTCGCCCACATACAGAAAATGTAGCTATGACTAAACATGCAAATGATAGTGTACCTCAGTGTCAGGATCAACAGAGTATTCCCTGACCACACTGCGAGAAGCCACATGATACTGGATGTACTTGTAGCAGGACCATACCATGCCAATAAGGTAAGCCTGGAACAAAACAAAATTCAGAACTATGATAAATAGACACTGCAGTTTTGTAAGCTATTTTAATGTTGGGGTTTTACATTCTCAAAAATCACTAAATTATAACCAACTACACTAAAAAAGAACATGAAACATAGATAATTGCTATAACAGTAAATAATCAGCAAAATTTAAAAAATATGAACAATACAAAACCAACCTTAACAGAGAGGACCAGAATGAGGCAGGTGACAAACAAAAGCATGAGATAGTCTGAGTCCAAGCACATCAGGCGGTTCATGAATGGCAAGTTTTCCTGCAGAAATAAAGTGGTTCATGAATGGTAAGTTTTCCTACAAAAATATAGTGGTTCATGAATGGCAAGTTTTCCTGCAGAAATATAGTGGTTCATGAATGGTAAATTTTCCTTCAAAAATATAGTGGTTCATGAATGGCAAGTTTTCCTGCAAATATATACCATGTGGACTGCTTCATCAGGACATAACATGAAAAAAAACCCACCTCTGCAGAGGAAAAACTCTAGATACTATTAACATGGATTTTATCTCACTGTTTCTCCTGCACTGGGAATTTTAAAATTATTTACAAAAGTATATAAAAATCATAAGCTGAAAGTTCAAATAACAAAATTAAACTTTGTAACTGTATCATAAATAAAAATTGATAGTTTTGTTGAGTAGGCCTATAATAAACTAGCTGCATCCCGTGCTCCGCCACGATAAATCTTTTTTAAATGTACCAACTTGGGAACAGAACAAAACTAAACACAACACAAACGAACGCAAAAAACACAAACAAACGAAAAAACAAACATAACACTCATAACATAAACACAATTTAAATGCAATCATAAAGGCATATTGCACACAGTCTAGCCCGTAGCGCCAAATCGCGCCCTTTCCGAGCGCCGCCGAATGCGTCTGACACAGTGAATGACTAAAATAACAGAGGCGTAACGACCCTTTCCAGCGCCCGGGGAAAAACTTTTGATTTGCACCCCCCCCCCTCAAACTTACGATTTGCACCCCCTCCCCTCAAAATTTCAATTTCCACCCTATTCCCTCAAACTTTCGATTTGTACCTCCACTTAGACTTTCGATTTGCACCACTTTTGATTTAACCCCCCCCCCCCGCTCAAACTTTTGATTTGCATCCCCCCCCCTCAAACTTTCGATTTGCACCCTCCCACCTCCCTCAAGCTTTCGATTTCCACCACCCCCCCCCCCCCCCGCAATTTTTTTCCAACCCACTTTGGCGCCCCCTTAGGTCGGCAACCGGGGACATATGTTCCCTCCCCTCTCTATGCCTCTCCTATAAAACCCCCAGCAGTATTTAAAATATCCGTGGTTTACCTACCATATTATATCACTTTATCGATTCACGCATTTTTTTCCCCAGTACTTTAAATTTTAAAAATTTACAATAGAGTTTCATAACTAATACCATTGCGCACCCAATGAACGTGATGACGCGTCTATAATAGTGCTTAATAGTTGATTAAAAATTATAAGTAGTAAACATTACATTCAGTGAATAAAAAAAATAAAAGATAGACTTTTATCAATCAATGCTAATTATAATATTCCAACAATAATGTACTCGTACACGTCTGCATAATTTGCATTCACATTTTGCTAATTATATTATTCCAACAATTATTCCGTCTTGTAGATTCTGCATTCACATTTTTAGCGTGAGTTCAATTTATTTTTAAAATACCTCCCTTAGCAAAAATACTAAACAGTTTAATTAGATTTTTCTAACCTACAGTTATTATGTTATTAAAATGTATCCACTTTTTCTAGGAATATTAACGAAAACGATATTTGACATTGATCCTTTTAATATGTTTTAGCAATGTGCATGTATTTAATATTCTCTTTACGTTATGCAAAATTGTACAAACAGTGGAAATTATAAAATAGCTCTATGTCATTATATAAGCAAACCCAACTCTTTTACTTATAATAAGACACTGCGGTGCACTGAAAAGCACAGCATGGTGCGTAGTTTACTTTTATAGTCCCAAAATCTATAGCGATGACGGACGGAAGGACAGACACAGCCCGCTTATATTATAGATTTTACATTTAACTTTATTAGTTTTTATCAACAGGTATTCAGAGCAAAATATAACACAAATAGTGCAATCTTTAGTTACCAGTCCTTGATCATGAATCCATTGCTTAATGTTAGGGGCATATGTGAAGCATCCTACAACAGTCAGACAGCTCAGACAGAAATCGAAAACTTGCAGGCAGAAGAAGGGCATCAAATAACTTGCCAAATTCTACATAAAAGTTTTAAATACATTTTAAATGTGGCATGGTTAAGTATAAAGAAAAAAATTGTTTTAAAAAGATTTTAATACTTAGTACAGAAAGTAATGCTTCAAAATCTTTTTAATTAAAATAAATTTGGACCAACAGAATTTTACAGACAAAAAAAGTATAAACAAACCCTAGCAACTCCATAGACAAGTGCTATGGTTGACACCAGACACACAAGTGTTATTCCAAACATAACACAAAGATTGTCTGAAAAAAAAAGTTTTAAAATAGGCCTTTTAGGGTACATGATATTTAGTAGCTTGTAGAAAAAGAATAAACTGCATAGAGAAATGAATATGAATTTATTAGTTGATAGCTAATCTGCAAATTAAAAATACATCAAATATGTAACGTAAGAAAAATAAAATCTACCTTTGCTGATCTGCTGTTTTCCAGCTTGATTACCGAAATTTTGGATGAAGTTTCCATTTTCTGTTTGCACAACAATGATTCCATCATAGGGCTGCTGGTTATCAGGCACTAAAATGTCTGGGTGGATTGCAGCAAGTACCAGGAATCCCAGAAAAACAACATGAATCAGCTGGAATAAAAAAAAAATGTTTATATAGTCAACTAATAAAATCTGACTTTAGATTCACAAATAATTAGACCCATGTTCATGTCTAAAATATGCTTTTTTTTAACTATGTTAAAGAGCTCTAGGTTTTTTCTTAGCAGAAATAACTGAAAGAAGTACCACTGTTATTCAAAAGTTAACTCATAAAATAAATTTGTGAAACTTCAAGTTACTTGGTAGGCTTGCCAGCCATATTAATAATTAAAATTCATTTTTATTGTTCACAATATCATCTGAGGTTTTTTTTGTACTGATTCATGTCAGTACCTAAATCTAAATCAGTCTTAATTGTAATTGTTATACTTTGCAAGAGTTATAAATAGTTATAAAATAATCTTAATTTTTGTTACACAGGATAGTATTAGCTTTGAAAAACCAATGGATTCATAATTTATTAATTAGCTTAGATCCTAAATAATGTAGAATCTAAATATTAAAAAAAAAACACTAATAAAATGAAGGCAGGAAACCATACAAAAATATAAGCTTGTGTCAGATAAAGGGATAAAGTTAGTTGGTTTGATTGCTAGATTGGTAAATAGCCTGTTTTCTTCACTTCAGTAAACCAGAAATTGATAAATTATTATATTACAATTTTAAAAAAAGACAATAATTTCAGTCTCAAGACAGCATGTAGAGAACTTGAAAATAATTGTTTATGTTAAAGGCAACATTTCTATTTAACTCAATGCAACAGGCACACTGGTTCTTGACGGGGGGGGGGGGGGGGGGCTCGTTCTGCCAATTCTAAATATTATCCAAAACTTTGCCGATAAAAAAATTAAATAATTATACTTTCTCGGGAGAATTTTTATACCGGTGTACGATAATGGAATCTTCTTTTAAAAAAGGGTGTAAGGTTACACCCCATTTTTAAAGAAGATTCCATTATCGGACACCGGTATCAATAATCATCAGAAGATTCTATTATCGGACAATGGTATAAAAATTCAGTAATCTATCATTTTAGGTATGTAAAATCAGCCGAGACTAGTAATGTGAAAAAAGGTAAATTTAGTAATTATTTCACATTTTTAGAAGGATTTAGGCCTATGTTTTGAAAATTACAAAAATGTTTCAAAGTTTCATTAATGTACCTTTTTTTAAACAATTGCATTAAAACTTTTCAGTAAAAATAAAGACTAGATGATCTAGTGATGTTTTCATCAGATTCAATCAAGCTCATTTACTTTAGTAGCCATCTTGTTTAAGTTTTTTTTTTGTAAAATTATAGTTAGAGATTCAGGGGAAACCACTCTAACTTACTTACAGGTGGCTGCTGTTTATATAGCAAATCTTGCTTGAAAAAACTGCTGTTTCAAGTTAATTTCTGGCCTATATTGATTATTCAGTTATCTATAATGTTTGACAAATATACTATAGTATATTAGGTTGAATTATGGATTTTTTAAAATAAAATATTCTGTTATTTCAAATACACCATTAAGTTCCTTACCCCTTAAGAGAACATTTGACACCACATTTAAATATCTAGCTTATTCGGTTGACGAGAAAAGAGAGAATTTGAAAATTTAGCTAGAATGGAAAATGAACGACAAAACAAGAATCTTGCTCCTGGACCGGCATAACATGACGCCGTGGACTTGTGTGCACGAGCTTTTAATTCCCGCCATGGTAATTGCGTCAGCTTAGGTCATTTACTCACCGGAAAATAACAAAAACCAACTGGTTGATAATAAAACTAGATCTAGTTATTTTATTATTTATTAAATTCTACTCTACATGTTATTCATAACATTTTAAGAAATAATGAACACCTACATAAATCAAACGACCATAATAAATATTTTTTATTTCAAATTCTAATTTTAAATAATAAATATGCATAAAATAATATGATAGTAATAGTTAAGATAGTTTATAAATGCAAATACATTTTCCACTCAATCACATTATATTGAGTCAACAGTGTGGCAGCTGAGGTTCATACATGGTATTAATGTCTTTTTTTTTACATTACATTTTTTTCTTCTTGAAAACATGACGTATGTGATTTTTTTAAAAATAAAATCTCCAAACATCAACACTCGCGTGATTGCTTGCTTATGTTTACTATCCTGTGGATGAAAAATCCCACCACGGTCGCGGGGTCACCGTGACTTCAGCAGGCCTATAGTACACGTCATAGAATGAACACGCGTACACGAGATGGTCGGTGTCTTCACTTCTCTCTCTCTCTCTTCCCCCCCCCCTCTTCTTCAAGCAAATTGAAAAAGAGACCTACTTCCCTACTTCTGGTCATTTTTTTTTTTAAAGTTCGGTCAATTTTTTTTTTAGTTCACATATCAGGCATGCTAGACAGCCAGCTGTATAAAAAAAATATTTTTTAAACTAGATCTAGATGATCTACGTCTAGCTTAAAAAAATTAATAAATAAACGCTTAAAATGCCCGTAAACAGATTATTTAGCTGCAAAAAAAAAAGGCCCCTGAACGAGCATTTTTTACAATACGCAGCAATGAAAAAGGCTAACGGCCAATCAATTAAGTCTAAAAATCGCCCGTAATTAGGCCTAGCTCTGAAAAAGGCCACTGAACGAGCATCACTGATTATATAAACGAATAGGCCACACAGCGTTGACGAGGTCAACCACCGGTCACGAATGCAGCAACGGTCGGCCCACAGTGAAGAAAAAATTAATATACTAATAAAATTACTAATACAATAATAATGTCTATAATTTTACTTTTTCCACACATGCTACAATTGAATTATAATTAAAATACTAGACTTAACAGTTCATTCCGTAAAAAACAAAAACTAGTTGTTTCAGTCTGGCAACTAGCGTAACAATGACGTCATGATACTAAAAATAGCGGATAGAAATGTCAGCGTGGGTACCTCATCCTCGAGGAAGATTTTAGAAAAAGTAATCAAAAATACTGTAAATATACATGATAAATATATCAATTATATATTAATGTACAGTTAGTCGAGCCGTTTTCCCCGTTAGTCGGTCGTTTTTGGCGGCGGTTCAGTTTTTACGGAGAGTGCTCCACTAGAAATCCTCTCATTATTTACAACCACGAATCTTGCGATTTTTTCTGACATTCTAAGGCATATTATCCATTTTATTAGCAATTTGCATTAAAATAATGATGAGAATTTGCGATATAAACAGTTTTTTCATTTGTCGTGGATGGGACCCCTAAAATAAACGTAAAAACCGTCAGAAAACGATGCGTGACGTTTCAGGGTCAGAGGTCAATCCTGCCATCTAAGCAATGCGCCAGACTACCTAATATACCACAATATACTATATACTTCTATTAGAGCCTTAAAATGAGGCAACTTTTTCGCACATTACTAACCTCCGACGAGACGAGTTTTCGCACTTAAGATGATATCATTAGAGTGTATTTCGAAAATTGAAAATTCGTTATTTTCGGGAGGAAAAGATACCGATCGACGCGTAATTTTTTACTGAAACTACTTTTTATACTCTGTGTGTGTCTAGCAAAAGTTTATTTAGCCTATTTCGATTTTAAAATTTTTGTGTTTATAAAAAATTTGGATTAACCTGCCACCATTATTTTTCCTCTTACATTAAAAAAAAAAGTGTCTCCGATATTGGTAGTACACAACTTGATGACGTCATACGCGTCAAATTATATTTTCGGACTTTTCGTCATTTTAATATAAATAGAATATGTATAGAATAAAGAATCTACATCATCTAGAATCTAGATCTATTATTAAATCTAGAGATTCTAGGTTTCATAAATTGATCTAGATTCTTGATCTAGTGAAGTGATAGTGATCTAGCCTCTCCTAGTGATCTAGTCTAGAGTCTAGCTTGACGATCATCTGGATCTAATCTAGATTCTAGATCTAATTCTAAGAATCTAGACTAGACTCTAGACTAGATCTAGACTAGAATGATAGAATCTCTAGATCTAGATCTGGATTTAGATTTCTAGATGATATAATCTCCCTCTAGACTAGATCTAGAATTTCTAGAAATTCTAGGTCTAGTCTAGCTAGAATCTAGATCTAGATCTAAATCTACCTAATGACACTATTAAACCTTATTACTTTTTTTCGTAAAATAGTTTTTTTTTAATAATGCTATTTTTAAAAAACTTATTAAATATACAATATTTTTAAAATCTTTTTAAAATAATGGCGGCTACAAAGCTATCGATTCAGACTTTGCAGGTACATTTAAACGACTTGTTGGTGGGAAATTAGCCGTTTTCAGACTTAATTTAAAGAAAATTTGCAAAACTCTGTCGAACTACCAAAATTTTAAAAAGAACTGGAATCTAATTCAAATAGAAAAAAAGTGATGAAATTACCTCTATTTTTGACAGCAATATTCCGAAGAAAGAAAAACTAAATTAATAAATATCGTCCGCCAAAAAATTTTCCAATATGTCAAGTAAACCCGAAAGGCAGAGAGCGTCAACGAAATGCCGGTTGGAACAAGCCGTTAGTCTATTTTTAGACTCACGCGCGGCGGTGACGGAAGCCTGGGACAAAAAGCGAAAAGGGAAGTCAGCGCCATTTCCAAAATGGTTGCCCTTAGAAATTACGATGCCGTAATACACGCTAATATCATGATAGATTACCAAAAATCTCCCCCCCCCCCCCTCAATTGCCTAGATTAATTCTAAACTAACAACTTCATTCTAGATTTCTAGTGAGTATATTCTCTTATTTCTAGAAGCTGGAGTTATAGATCTAGATAAGTAGATAGATCTAGATTCTAGACTAGTAGATTTTCTAGCTAGATCTAGATATCTAGATCTAGAAATTTAGCCTGGTCACTCAAGTTTAAAAAATTAGGACAGCTGGTTACCGCAATAACTATTCCATAAAACAACGTTCCTGTTTTAACATGGCAGCAAAAGCAGCATCTAAATGAACGAGGGTCTACCCCAGCAGGCAACTGACCACTCTGTTTCATCTTCAAGTAGATGAAGTTAATGAACAAATAAAAATTTAGGTTGGGCCAACACAATCTTCTCTGGGTTTTGTTTGACAATAGTGTTCTAATCAATGGCTTTCGTTTTACTTCCGGCTATTACGTCAACTTTAAATGTGCATCTTTTGCTATTAAATGAAAAGATGTATTGAAATTTATAAAAAGATGTATGTTGAAAAAACAAATTTAAAAAATATTCTCTGTTTAGTGTGTTATTAAACTAATATTTTCTTTACATTCTATTATTCTGAGAAAAATGTTGTGATTAGAGAGTTTGGTCATGTGATCAGTCTGACGAATCTATAAAAAGATTGTTAAGTTCACGTTCAGAGGTAAAAAGTTTGTCGGACCGATTTCGCAAAACAAAAGGGAATTTCTTTTTGGTTATGTTGGAAAATGAATAGAAAAAAAAATATGGTTAAAAACGCATAAAAACAAATTAATAAGTTTTGGTTGACAAACAAACACCACTGTAAAATTTATTGGTCAGAAAACCGAAATTTCGGCAAAATAAACCTAGGCAGAACAATATTGTTATCCATAAATGTGAAGATGGGGGGGGGGGGGGGGGGGTGTCAGAAAGTATGACGTCACACCATTACATTTTTACTTTGGGGTCGTCCATAAATGACGTCACACTCGTTGGGGGGGGGGATCCGTAATTTTGTGATGGGGGGGGGGGGGGGGTTTCAGATGGTGCGACGTCACACTTTTGCATTATAAAAAAGCAATGTTAGAAAACGAATTTTAGACGTTATTTTGCGTTTTAGAAAACTGTTTTAATAAATTGTAATAACAATTGATTAAAAATATAAAATACTCTATTTTGACAGAGTTCAGACAAGATTTTGGAAAAATATAACTGTTTAAAAAAATTCAACTGCAATTTCGAGGGGGGTTTTGTAGGCTGAGGTGTGACGTAATTTTAGGGTGGGGGTCATCCATAAATGACGTCACACTCGTAGGGGGGAGGGGGGGGTCCGTAATTTTGTGACGATGTGTGATGAGGGGGAGGGGGGGGGTCAGATGTTGCGACGTCACATTTTTGCATTATAAAAAAGCAATGTTAGAAAACGAATTTTAGACGTTATTTCGCGTTTTAGAAAACTGTTTTAATAAATTTTAATAGTTTAGACAAGATTTTGGAAAAAAATCAATGTTTAAAAAAAATTCAACTGCAATTTTGAGGGGGGTTGTAGGTTGAGGTGTGACGTCATTTTAGGGGGGGGGTCTGGCTTTTTGTGACGAAGTGTGACGGAGGGGAGGGGGGGGAGGTAAAAATCGTCCAAAAAAGCGTGACGTCATTGAGGTAGATTATGAATACAACGGAGACAGAAGCCATGAGTATGTAAACAGCTTTAATTGTTAACCGGCAAGGTCGGAAGTACCATGCACAAGGGACATCACTCAAGATAACAATATTATAAATATAACTAATACAGAAGAGTGAGTTCCCTTGACCTCACAATTATTTCAATCTATTACATCCCTTTACCCTTAGAACACAATAACACATCTCTCAATAGAACAATTGATAGTATCCTAAAATCACCAATTATATTGTAACATGAACACTATGGTAGATTACATCCTTACAAACAATGCACAATATGCTACAACATAATCAAAATACAAAACAATAATGTCAAAGTCCTTTTGACCTTTAGAATCATAGGTCTAACTTATTTGGGACCTTGATTGTCCTGCTTGACCTTCTCAGTGGCTTTTGATTTGGTGACTCAATATTCTGACCATCTGGATTCTCTATCTCAGGAGGTCTAGGATTTAAATCATTAACTCCAGAATTTACATTTTCTGACTCTAGACAACTTGGTTCACTCATATCAACAGAACTTGGTTGTGGAACAAACTGAGTTGGTGTGAACTGATCAGACTTGGTGGGATTGACAGATTCACACTTATTATCTGCACAAGTTATTTTTAACTTTATAAGGCACAGGTCCTGTACATTGAACAATTTGACCTGGTATCCATTTTTCCTTTCTCCCATAATTTCTTAGATACACATTCTCATTAACACCAAATTCTCTTTCAATGAATGTTTGTCATGATTTAATGGGACTATTTTTGAATTGGCATCTGAAAGTATTATGCTGTTATTCAGATCCTTAATTGACATAGATTTCTTTGATTGATCAATTTTCTCAGGTAATCTGATAGTGCTTTTTGGTAACCAAAAATACTGTTTAAAAGTAATATCCTGGACCATATCACTTTGCAACTGTGATCCAGTATTTGAAATGGGTGTATTAAATGGCAAAAATCTTTTTTCTTCTTTTGATGTTACCCTTTTATTTTCTGTAAGTGCTAATGATGTTAGCAAAGTTGTTTTATGATCACATTCCTTCTTACTTAAAGCATTTGAAATTGCCATATCACCATAATCATTTACTAAGTTACAAATACTTTGTTTAGGCAACTCTGACTGATAATGGACTGCATCTTCTCCATCTTTTATATTATCTTCACAAAGGGTTTTAATTTCTTATTTTATATGGCCTTAAGTCATCATTCACAGACTCTTCAGGCCAACCATTCTTACAGTACTCATATACTTTTATTAAGCACTCATCTTTTTGTGTTTCTCTTTTAATATCATTCACATTTATATTGGAGTTATCCATGATAGTGAAGAGAACAAATACATCTTCTGGTACATAGCTCAGGCTTTGGTTTTTTAAAGATAATCTACTAAGACTATCTGCACTATTCTCAGATCCAGGTTTGTATCTCAATTCATAATTGTATGCAGTTAGTGTGATAGCCCATCTTTGAATTCTTGGTGAGGCATGCTCAGGTAGGGTTTTGTTTTCTCCAAATAAACCTAGCAATGGTTTATGATCTGTAAAGATGGTGAACTTCCTACCAAACAGAAACTTATGAAATTTCTTAACACCAAAAATGATGCCTAAGCCTTCCCTATCTAACTGAGAATAATTTTTCTCAGCCTGGTTCAAAGATCTACTGGCAAAAGCAATGGGTCTGTCACCCTTCTCATCCATGTGGGACAAGACTGCTCCTACACCATCTGGTGAAGCATCACATGTTAATATAAGTCTTTTCCCTGGGTCATAGTGAGTTAGTAAGGTGTCAGAAGACAAAGCCTCTTTTGCTGTATTAAAAGCAGCTTCTTGTTGTTTACCCCAGTGCCAAGTTGCATTTTTCTGTAGCAGCTTGTACAGTGGTGATAGTTTACCAGACAGATTCCCTATGAACTTTGCATAGTAATTTATCAAGCCCAAAAAAGCTCTTAGTTGTTGGGTATTTTCAGGTTTTGGTGCTTCTTTAATGGCTTTTGTTTTCTCAGGTTGAGGTCTGATGCCTTGCTTGCTTAATATATAACCAAGAAAACTAATTTCTGTCAGCATGAATTGACATTTATCTTTGTTTATCTTTAAACCTTTTTCACCAACAATTTTTAATACTTTATCAAGTGTTTTAAGATGTTCAGTGTCATTCTTACCAGTTATGTACACATTGTCAAAGTACACACAAACATTTGGAATATCCTTAAAAATACTGTCCATGACAGCTTGGAAAATTCCAGGGCTAGATGATATGCCAAAACATAGTCTTTCATATTGGTAGAGTCCTTTATGTGTGTTTATTGTCGTATAGACTTTTGAATCTGGATGCAGTTCTAGTTGAGTGTAAGCATGACTAAAGTCTAATTCAGTGAATTTGTCTCCTCCTGCCAAATTCAAAGAGATTTCCTCAATGTTAGGTATAGTGTACCTATTTAGCTCTATTTGCTTATTCAGTGTAGTTTTGTAGTCTCCACAAATTCTTATAGAACCATCCTTCTTTAACACTGGCACAATGGGTGTCGCCCAATCGGAATAGTCTACCTTCTTTATAATGCCATTAGATTCCAATCTACTTAGCTCATTTTCAATTTTATTCCTCATTGCATAAGGTGGAACTCTAGCTTTGCAGTATCTTGGATTTGTATCTTTAATGCTTAACTTCACTGTTCTATCATTTAGTAAACCTGAATTACCAAAAACACATTTATTTTCAGATATAACTTTATCTAGTGAAGTAAGACTAGATTCTTTTACATTCTTCAATGAACAAATACTCTCCCAATTTAACTTAAGATCACTTAACCAGTTCCTACCTAGTAATGGCGGTCCATTTCCTTCAACCACAAGAAGAGGAAGTTTAACACTTTGACCATTATAACTTACATGAACCATACACTCTCCTATTACCGGAACATTGTCACCAGTGTATGTTGTTAGACACTTGTGACACGGCTGTAGAGACACTGATCCTCCTGTGACAGCGTCAAAATCTTTCTTTGTTATGACTGTTAGAGATGCTCCAGTGTCAAGTTGGAAGCTGATGCTCTTACCGTTGATATAAACTGGTACATTGATGGGAGCATGACTTTTTGATTTCACAGAGAACAGGTTGAAATCCGGCTGCAAATCAATTTGAGAATTTTCACAGGTAGAGTGGTTCATTGGTTGGGTTAGGTAGTCTTGGTGAGAGTTAACATAGTGCTGCCTTTGGTTGCGGTACTGTCTTGACTGGCTAGATTTAGCAACAGACGAAGACTTTGCAAAGCAGGCCTTGGCAATGTGACCTTGCTTACCGCACTTATAACAAGTTGCTAACTTGAACTTGCACCGATGAGATGCATGGGGACCTTTGCATCGATGACATTTTTGATAATTATTACTAGATTTAGATCTAGGATTTGAACGAGCAGGCTGTTTAGCATAAGTTGGAATGCTCTGTTGGGGTTGATGTTTGTTGACTAACCTGCTGTTTACTGCATGGATCCCTGAAGGCGTTAGAGATTTCGCCGCATCTGATGACTGCTGGATTGAAGTTGCAAGTTGTATTGCTTTTTCTAATGTTAGATCTGACTCGAGCAGCAACTTTCTTTGAATATCAGGGCTGTTTACACCTGTCACAAACTTTTCACATAGTCTGTCAGACAGCGTTTCTCCAAATTCACAGAATCTACTTAAATGACGTAAAGCAGCAACATATTCTGATATTGACTCGTTTGGTTGACGAGTCCTACTGTCAAATCTAGCTCTACATAGAAACTTTGATGGGGTAGGCGCATGGTG